AAGAAATTTAGGAAGGCATCAAAGGAGCTAAGTTCTGTGTTTTATACCATGGCAAAGACTTGCAGTAAAGTTGAGTTTGATAGGTTGATGGATACTGTAGAAAAGGTTGATGTAGGTGTCAAAGAGTATTTGGAGCTAGCTGGATATGATAAGTGGTCAAGGTGTCATGCAGAAACTCATCGGGGATGCGCTATGACGTCTAACATTGCAGAGTATAAATGTTGCATTAGTGTCTACACGTGAATTACCAATTTTTAATTTTCTAGAAGAGGTTAGACTGATGTTTGGGAGATGGAATCATGACAACAAACACGAGGCAGCCTGCACATTTACTCTGTTGATTGGAAAATTTCAGAAGATACTGATCGAAAATGAAGCAATGAGCACACGAATAGAGGTATGTTTTATGTATATGTAGTGTTAATTAATCAGTTATGCACACAGATAGAATATATATACAATTGTATAGACTTATACATATAAATAAATCTATTTGTATGACACAGGTTGTGCCGTCAACTGAATATATACAATGTGACTGATGATGGTAGGAGTTTTGTGGTATGTTTAAAGAATAAAACATGCAGTTGTGGAAAGTTTCAATACGAAGAAATACCATGTGAACATGCTTGGGCTGTACTAAAGCGGAAAAGTCTAGTGGCTGATGGATATTGCTCGGATTTGTATAAACCAAAAACGATTTTGAAGATTTATGAGATACCAATTTATCCATTGCCTGATGTAGCAGAATGGGTGATACCAGAATACATAATGTATGATGAAGTCCGGCCTCCAAAATTCAAAAGACCTCCAGGAAGGCCAAAAAATAAACCCCGTTCAAAAACAAAACGTGAATTGCTTGGTCTCAAAGGGAAGCATACGTGTAGCACATGTGGAGTTGCAGGTCACAATAGGTGTTCATGTAGAAACAGACCTCAAGAATTTTAATAAGCTCTTTCGATTATATTTGAGTGTAAAATTCAATTTTATTGATACTTGAATGTTATTCTAAACTGGTTTTGTGTTTAAACTGTATGAGTTGGGTCTTTTTGCAACATTGGCACGTCGGGGAGACTTTATTAAACAAGGTTGCTTTGAAATGACCCTAGGTGTTGTCTTGTTCTGAATAGGAGTGATTGTCTGCCTTGATTTCTTCTTAGGAGGCGACAAACAAGTATCAACTTTTTCTTTTCCCTTGTTATTTATTGGACATGGAGGATCCTGAAAATCATCGTCTAAAGCATTTGCAGCTGTTGTTTATGTTGGAGGTGAATCTGATTGAACATACTCAGGAGGTAATTCAAGAATCTTGAGTTCCATTGGAGTTGGAGTTATATTCTTAAAAACAAGCTGCAAAATATAGACATGTTCATATTGACATATTCATTATACAAAATGTTTACTTAATCAAATGTAAAAACATATACAGTTTATATATACATTAGACAAACTTATATGTATAATTATACAGTTTATAAGCTTATATATACAAATGAGGTTATGTTTATAAAGTTCACATACTTATAGGTATATTTATACATTGTCAAAAACTTGTATAAATAATAATACATGGAGCAAATTTATACATATAGTTTTCTATAGCACAAATTGATACATATATTTATACTTTTATATATTTATACAGTTATATATCTATATTATATTTATACAGATAATATATTATACATAAAATTGTACAGTGCGTACCGGATTGTTGTCGTCTCTGAACATGCCCTTAGCAAAATAGCTTAGACGAGGGAAATCTTTTTTTTTCTTCCAGTTAAGTATCCTAGGGATGTGATGAGATACCTTAACAGCAATTTCCTCATCAAAATTCGAACAACATTCATAAAACCACACTTGCAAAGCAAGTGGGAAACCATACAACCTGAAATACTTCCCATCGTGTTTGATCTTAGTGTGCAAATGCAGAATCAGAAGGTCAAAACCCTTTTTACCCCATGGGTAGTCAATGTATCTGCCCGATTCAACCAAATCAAAGTCTTTCCTATCAATAACAGTACTGGTTGGTTCTTCGGAAAGGATGAATGAATGTATATAGAACAATATAGCAAACTTCACCGCATCATCATCATTATCCCCCCAAACCTTATTATCAAACTTTTCAACCAACTAATTCTAGGTGATGGCTTTTTCGACTCCAAAATACTGAAGAATAATTATGTTTGGTTCTTTGGTATTAAAGACAAAATCCTTCTCATTGTCTGAAAATTTTAACCCAAATATTATAGCAAAGTCACGAATGGTGAATCGCAAAGTGGTACCATTCACATGTATCAGGATTGCATCTTTTGAGCTACCCTCAATTTCTCTCAAAAACATGCACCTAATAAGTTGTGCTTGAACATGACACCTACGAATGCTAGATAATTGGGCAAAACATGTTGTTCCACAAAATTCTTTATACTGTGAACTAGTAAGCTTTGTAGCTAACACTTTCATTACTTCAATATTTGTGTAACACTGCATGTGAGGTATGCGTGTTGGTTCTCTTTTTCCTAAAAACTTAACAGCCTGAAAAAATGCATATATAATTTTACTAAAAATACACACGTATACATAATTAAGACTCAAGTACATATATCAAAATGTATGAAATAGCTTTTAAATGAAAATAACATATATAAGTTTTATAAAGAAAAAATACATTATACAAATTAATTTCAACTGTATAAATGTTTATATTGTATATATAGATAAATTGTTGTACCGCTACGAATACAATAACTATTGATATTATACTTATACAAATAAATTCAAATGTATAATTGTTTACATTGTATATATAGTGAAATACAAATCATTTATGTATGTGTATAAGTTTGTGGAATTGTATATGTCTAAAGGAACATTATACAAATAGGATCCTTATACAAATGAAAAAAACTTATACATAAAACAATGCACAAAACTGTATAAATGTTTATATTGTATATATATTATACATTATACAACCAATTTCAAATGTATAATTGTTTACATTGTATGTATAGTTAAATAGTTCTATTCTATACACTTAACTTTGGATATTAACATAGTGACTATATAAAACTGTATAAACAAACAGTTATAAGACATGAATCAACACAGAAAATATAAGAAAAATATAAAATCGTAACATATACAAAAATAATGATTATACAAATACCTCATCATGCTCCAATAAGCCAGAAACAACAACTTCCTTTCTTTTTGCATTCTCTTCTTTATAATTAGTTGTTTTTTCTTTCCTTTTTTTACTTGACCCAGCAGTAGACTGATTTTCTTACCTCCCTCCACAATTTTGATGTTGGATTGCTTCGATTTTGCACTCATTCCCTCCAATCTGATTGGGTTATTTTTCAATTTGGATTTGATCTCTTGCATTGTGTTGGATTTGGACATTGAACCTGAAACCTCCCCAAAATCCTGAGTTAAACCCAAGGAAAAAGATGGGCTTAGATGGAGATTGGGCATCCATTCTTTGAAGGAAAACTCTGTATGGATTATGAACTGATGTGAAAATAGCTTGAAAAAATTGAAAAAAATAGACAAAAATTTAAAGTAATCGATTGAGATAAGTTTTGGCGGTACTTGAAATTTTTGAAGGGATTTTGAAACCGCGATTGAGAACGTGCTGGTGGAGATTTGAAATTTCAAACTAATTTTGGGGAGAAAATTTGAGAGAAATTGAAGGAAATAAGAGATATAAACTAGAAGAAGATATTGTATAAAGGAAGAGAATAACGTCAACTTTTTTTTTTTACTTATACAAATCGGTGGGGTCCATTAATAGCAAACTGACCGAAACTTTGCTCCTTAAAGGAAATAAATGAAACGGTAGCTACTGTATTTATTTTACATTAAAAGTTTGCCATTATGTACAATTATCCCTATTAATTTTAACTACTCATTTTAATAGTATCAAATATCGTCTGCAGAATACTTTGCCAGTGGGTTAGCCATAAGTAATGGCCCATTACTATTGTATTTGACAAGGAAAGAAAAATAAAAAATAGATATGACGAGATGGTGGTTGTACAGAAATATAATTATAAATGATATTCGTAAAATTATTAGATTTGGGATTGTGACATATCTACAAGTTTGAATAATATTCATTTTAAAAACTAAAACGACTACCAAATATATTTATAAAAGAAATAAAAATAACTCTTGTCAATTAAACGTAGTCATGTGAAACATGAAATATATGTCTTTTTCCTTTAGATTATTGTGTTGTGCTATTTTCTTTCCAGTAGTTGGTTGATCAAATCTAATATCATACGCAAACTAAAGCATCAATGACTAAACAAAATCGACAAAACTGTATAGGTTATATGCATGAAAAGTACAAGTTAGACGCAGAGGTGGATCTAATTAAAATTCTGAGTTTATTAAATTCTAAAAATATAGTTGATGGGTTTCTGAAAATTATTTATACATCACCGAATTTTACAAAAATCTCATAGTGTTAAGAGCTAATTACATTATATCCCTACTATTTTTCAAATTACAAAAATCCCTTAAATTTAGTGAAATCCTGATATATCCTGAAACATCGCGTCTCAGTTTCAGATACATCACTCAACGTCTCGATTTCGAATACATCGCTCAACATCTCGATACATGGTATGCGTCCTGATATATCACGTAAAGTGATGTATTCGAGAATATGAGAGAGTAGAGATTTTTGTAATTTTTTCAAATGATAGGAAATTTTAGAGAATATGAAAAAATAAGTTGTCTATTTAGATAATTTTTCTCATACAATATTAAAAAAGTTGATCGTTAAACATAAATACAGAGTTCGGACTAAAGTTATTGGTAGATATCCATCGAGCTCGCCAGCAAAGCTCTTTCACTCCGCCATCAGCACTTAGGTGTAATACATTACATATTATTTTTTTTCATTTCAACATACTACAAAACACCACACGTAATTCTAACAGCTATATATAGCAAAGTGTTAAGCTCATACATATATGGCTAGTTGACATAAACTGGAAATGGCAATGTTTATTAGCAAACCAAATTTAATTTGGAAATTAGAAGTTCCAAAATCTTGCATTTCGAATGTACCAATTCGACGATCTGGAAATTATCAACCTTCTATTTGGGACTATAATCATATTCAATCACTGAAGAATCATTATCCAGTAACCATTTCTCTCTAGCAACTTATTTAACAACTTATATATTATCTGTATTAATAACATCTTATAATTTATTTTTTAACCCAAATCTATATATGTAGGACGAGAAATTCATGAGACGCCGCAATGAGCTGAAGATGGAAGTGAAGATTATGCTCAGTGATCGTAACATGAAGCAATTGGAGCAGTTGGAGATTATTGATGATTTGCAAAGGCTTGGATTGTCTCATCACTTTGAAGATGAAATATACAGTATTTTGAATAACTTAAGTGACAAAAATAGCAAAAGAGATCACTTGTATGCTAAAGCTCTTGAATTCAGGCTCTTGAGACAACATGGATTTAACATTATTTCACAAGGTCCGTTATCATATCTACTAGTTTTCTCCCTCTCTTCTATTCTATTTTTTTACTATATCCATCTAGTATCCTTCGGCCTGACTAATTCAAATTTACACTTTCATAAATAAAATCTACTAAAAGGAAAGCGTTTTTCTTGGATTATTTGCACCATATGCATGTTGCCTTACTTTTTTCATTCCAAGGCTCGAATCATATGATACAAATTAATAAAACCTTGTTCTGGTTGCAGAAATTTTTGATGGTTTCTATGACAATACAACTGGTTTTGGTGAAATTCATCATAATGAGGACACAAAGGGGATGTTATATTTGTATGAAGCTTCATTTCTTGCCATAGAAGGTGAAAAAGAATTGGAGTTAGCAAGAAATTTGACAGAAAAACACCTAAGAGAATATTTGGCTGATAAAAATAAAAATGATATGGATCAAAATTTGGTTGAATTGGTGCACCATGCCTTGGAGGTTCCACTGCATTGGAGGATGTTGAGATTAGAGACCAAATGGTTTATCAATTATTACAAGAAAAGACAAGACATGATGATCCCTTTCATGCTTGAACTTGCTACCCTTGACTTCAATATTGTTCAAGAAACTCACATTAAAGACCTAAAATATGTGGCAAGGTAATTAAACTCCATGAACCCAACTTCAATTCTAGTTTTTCATGCATTTTTTTAATATAATATTTTGACATATAGGTAATAATTTTCCATAGTTTTAAAATATTTGAATCGTAGTCAAATGTGAATTCTACCGACTCTGCATTATTATATAAAACCATTTCATGATCAAATTAATAGGTGGTGGAAGGAAACATGCTTAGCAGAGAATCTGCCATTTGCTAGAGATAGGTTGGTGGAGAATTTTTTTTTGGACAATTGGAGTAAATTTTCTTCCTCAATATGGATATTTCAGAAGAATTGCCACAAAAGTTAATGCTCTAGTAACCACAATAGATGATATGATGTTTTTGGTACTCTGGATGAACTACAAATATTTACACATGCCATCCAAAGGTAATTAACAATGTCAAAATTTGTTAAAGCATAATTAATTTCTAGCTAATTTTAATTTCTTTCCAAAAAAAATTTAGATGGAATATCAAAGAATTGGATAAACTCCCAGACAATATGAAGATGTGTTATTATGCGCTCGATAACTTTATTAACCAAGTCGCTGCTGATGCTTTTGAAGAGCAAGGCATTTTCATTTTACCATATCTAAGAAATGCGGTAACTTATCCCCTCTCTTTTTTTCGAAAATAAGACAAGTAATTATCATGTATATAAATTAAACTCGATATGCAATATTACATTGTGAATTTAAATTTCAGTGGAGAGATTTGTGCAAATCATACCTGAGAGTAGCAAAGTGGTACCATAGCCAGTATATCCCAAGTATGGAAGAATATATAGACAATGCCTGGATTTCAATATCAGCTCCAGTAATATTAGTACATGCGTATTTCCTCGTTGCCAACCCCGTAAACAAGGAGGCATTGCATTACTTGGAGAATAATTACCATGAAATAATTCGCTGCTCAGCGTTGATTTTGAGGCTTGCCAATGATTTAGGAACATCATCGGTATAATTCAACATGTTATACAAGGTTATCTGCCTAATTATTTTTATTTACCAACACTAGTATTTCCATTGTGTAATGCAGGACGAGTTGAAAAGGGGTGATGTGCCAAAATCAATACAATGTTACATGAACGAAACACAAGCTTCAGAAGAAGAGGCTAGACAATACATCAGAGTTTTAATTAGCCAAACATGGAAGAAATTGAACGAAGCTCATGACCTAGCAGCACACCCCTTCCCTAAGATATTTGTTACGTGTGCTATGAACCTAGCAAGAATGGCACAATGCATGTATCAGCATGGTGATGGCCATGGTGGTAATAACTCCACGACTAAAAATCACATCATGGCGTTGCTCTTTGAATCTGTTCCTCTAGGATACAAACATTCTTCAGCAGAAAAAGAGGACGACTCTATGTTCAACTATAAAGAGAAATTCATGATCTAGGGGTCAGTGAGTTGGGGAATCTTAGTAGCACAATTGGTTGGTTGGTTACCTGAACTTTCACCTTGTTTGTAAGGTTTTGATTCTCCGCCTTGTAATTTCCTCCCCATTTATAGAAAGGGCAGGGGGAGAGAGAGAAGGGTCAGTTGGTGCAGTATGCATAGTACACAATACATTATCAAAAAGAAAACTACAAAAAACTCTCCATCATCATAACTATATATGATTGGGCAGTTGATTCTCATGTTAAGCTATATAATCAACCACAGTGCCATTTTTCTTTTGGAATCTGATAGCCTCAAGTTACGCGTTTCTTTCTAAAAGGAAGGACAACTTTACATGGCTCCTATATCAGAACTATGGAAAGTTTTAACGTTTGACAAATCTCATTTCAGAGTATGGTCCAGAAGGAAAATAACAGCTCACCAACAAATAACCTTTTCAAATTTTGAATCATAGTGGATGAAACGTTTTCCCACTATCCAAAGTGTTTTACATCATAGGATAGGAAACCTACCTATTGAACAAGTTCAAAGTGTCAATATCCATACAACAATAACGTCCAAAAATTTGGACGGTGATCCTTTAATGAGAACAGATATGGATGAATCGATACGGGACTTGTGCCATATTCTTGACTACTAGTGCAACTGATGTCCCAAGAATTACCTTTCTTTGTGTGCTGGGGACTGCTAAATCGTCACTGTGCATGAACCTGGTTCTTTTGAGAATTTGCGCCATTGTTCTTTGTTCTTTTCAACTGAAGCAGAATTCTTAACAAACTCGGAGAGTCCTTGCCTCAAAGCCCCTAAATTTACCCCTTTGCCCACCAATATACTTGTGACACCCATTTCTGAAACCTGAAAAATACTGCTTTAGCTTACTATGTGTATCTCCAGGATTTGCATGTAACATTTATTTGATCTAGACCGACAAGTGATGTAATTATTTGAATCAACTGAATGCTTCAAAAAGTGATTTTACCGCCTGTATGTTCCGATTTTCATCATCAAAAAACAGCATCTCATTGTAGGGCACCGCAGTCTTTCGGTTGATTTTCTGAAAGTGTTCCGTCTTGTGTGTCCAACTGGAGAATATCTCCTGCAACACTAAGCCATTAGCATGATGACCTCACACAGTAAGCAGCATCAGCTAAAAATGAATATAGAGGGCCCAGTCATGGAAGTGAGCATTTTACACAGCTTGTTTGGATGGTTACCTATTTATTGTATCATATTATTATTTTAAATACAATATTTGTTTTGATTGTTACTTAAATTTTATTGTATCGTATTGTTAAATTTGTTGTTGCGTAACGATAAAAGGTTATCATTTTATGCAACAGTCAATTTGGTGTGATCAATTTGTTCTCATCTTGCCCTTATTACTTAACCACCTTATTTTACCCTTTATCCTAATTTATTTTTTTAATAATTCCATCCAACACTGTTTTTTTGTAATATTATAAGCATATTCTTTAGGTTGTTGGTGCAAGGAATTGTGAAATGACAGAAACAATACAATATATGAATTTCCTAAGAGGTCCCTACAGTGATGAGCTTTGTCTCGATACCTTTGAGCTATCATAATTCTTGAGGTTGCATAGCAGTGGCTAAAAGATGATACCTCAACGATTTTGTTGATATAGGTAAGTGGCCCACAAGTGGGTAAGTTGACAAGGAAAGTAGAGAGAATATCAATTGATACAGAGTGTTGATAATAGATAAAGATAAATGTTCTTTATGACCTACTAGTTTTAGACAACTGCTGGTTTACCTGCTATGTTGCTCAAACTCTTCAAAAATGTTGTCGCACCTGTGTCGGATTCTCCTAAATTCATTACTTTAGGAGTATCTTACATGCACCCATAGAGTCCGGGCAACATGTTTACGAGCCTAGATACTTGGGTGCCTCCTTTGGATTTAGTGCCAATCATAAGGTGGAAATGAATCCTATGCTTGTTGCTAGATAGTCATTTCGGCCAAGACACCTCAGTCTGAAATTTTTTTCCTTTTGATATGTGAGAAGAACGTCACCTTGATTACTTCTCAGGAAAAAATAAATATTATAAGTGGAGCCAAGATGTTGATGCCGGTTCTAAAGCTAAAAAGGAAATTTACTTCTCCTTCGAGTTTATTCAGTGCCATAGCTGAATATGGACACGATTTCAAGTAAGTGGGTCAAGTGTGAAACAAAGAAGGTATTATTTGACTTAACAATATTTAAAGAGGTTAAGTTTTTCCACCTACAGTGAAGTTAAATATTTAAGCTCTCCTAGTCCCAAAAGCCAAGATAAACTAAATTCGTCTCAAGTACATTCCCAAACCTATATAGGAGGTGATTAGAAAACCAACTAAACCACCAAGACGGAAAGACCAGCCAATTAGACTAGAATGTGGCGTGCAAATAATTTATGGACCACATAAATCTGAAGATGCCTTCTGAGTCTGGTTTGCCTAGAAAATGTTTAATAAACTAAGTTGGGCTGTAGAAATCAGCATAATTAGTAAATAATTTTACATATATGCAGGGTCAATCTGAAAAGTGAAATTGGCATGAAATAATTGCTATGTTGAAACCTTTCTGAAAAAATGGAACAAGAACTAAAAACTAGCTAACAAAAAGCCCTGAATCAAACTGCAACAGTTTGTTAAAGTTATATAGAAGCCTTTTTGTTTTTACTATACATTTTTGGTCATGAAGGGCTTTTTAAAAGTATCATTCATTTCTATGTGACATTAAACTCTGCATCGCATAACATATGGATAACATAGTTATGGACCTATTTCTTGTGTTTCTCTACTCCAGCGTACTGTCCAACTCCTCAACCATGAAAAAGCACGGTCACAACAAAGTCAGCTACTAACAAGGAGGCACAGATCTAAATGGGCAGCAGAATTAACTAATATCAATAAAATTTGCAGGTTACCATAGAATCAAAGGAACAATAAAACAAGATGCTGAGATTTCTATCATCTCACCTGGGCTACAAACATTGATTTTATCTCCAGTTTTTGAAGGAAGGCGTTTGCTATATCTGGAGTTGGTGATCTTGAGGCAATAGCAACATTCACTCCTTTGTCCTTGAAGGCATGCAAGATACCTTTGGCCTGAGGATACATAGATGGCTTTTCATTTTTGGAACGGCATTCACTGAAAGAATCAAAGTAGACACAAATGGTATTATGAGTAACCAAGAATCCACATACCAAGTTCAAGAAAATAAGAAGCTCTCTTTTGTTTTGGATAGATAATAAGGGTGTTGAAAATATAGAAGCAGTCACTTACTGTTGTAGCCAGCATGTTAACTTGGAAACCAAATGAACGGCCTCCGGACAAAAACATAGAATTCAATCAATTCATACATTCTTGGCTTTAGAAAGTTATGACATGGTATGCTGGTTTCCTAAACTAGAGAGCAGAAAAGTAGGACATAACCTCTACTAAGTATTAGCTCAACTAAAATGCAAAGCGTATCTATAGAAGCCATAACCAGCGACAAATCTAGAATTTAAATTTAATGGTTCAACTTCTAAGACTTTTAGCATTGAACTCGTTGTAATATTAAATTATGTATTCAGGTCTAACATTTGTCAAGACTTTAGTACATTTACCATATATATTTTATATTCTGTCTTGAAAGTTATGTGTTCAGATGATCCCGTTGCAGAGACGCTACATCCTCCCCTGACATAACCCTAGAGTGTTCACCCAAACCTAGTAGCTTTGATTAAACCCTGTCTATATGCTAAAAATTTCGCCAAATAAGTACATATAGTTGACTTGGTAACCAGTTGATCAAATGAACTTGTACTAGATTCCAGAAATCACTCATAGAGTTCAAAACTCAATCCTGCTACCAGAATAAGAAATCAACTACTCCATATCAATATTAAACCTACATATATATTGATATATAAGAAGTTCCAACACAGCGACAGGAAAAGCAAATCAATTACTCTGAAAAAGAAAAGAAGATTCAAAATTGGGCATCAGTTCAAATCCAGGAAAGAGAGAGAGAGAGAGATTGTGTGGTACCAATAAAAGGGCCAAAGGGTATAATCAAGATCGAAGACGACGAGACGAGGAAGAACTTGGAACAATCCCATTATCTCCATTGCTTCATTCTTAACCTTTTCGTCTCCCATCTCTCCTTACCGCGTCCACGCTTTCCCTGCCGCCAACACCCTCTTCTACTTTACTAGATAACTGAAGGCCCCAATATAATTACTTACAAATTTAATATCAATTCTTCATAGAGAAATTTTAAGTGTTTACTATTATTTTATTATTATTTTTAAATAATAAATTTGTTGACAAAAATACTAAATCGAATTTGGTCAATATTTTTTTCCCCAATCAAACTCTTTGCATAAATAAAATAATGTCATAATGTAGATTAATTCAAAAACAAATTTCAGGTATTGTCGGTATTAATTATGGGAATATTTGTTATTTTGGTAATACTCATGATTTAAAATTTAATTTTCTTTTTACTATTGCATAGTGATATAAATTTATAGATTTTAAAAATAATTTATTTTTATATTAAATTGTTATATGTTATTTTCTTAAATGCTTATATTTTTAATTTACTGTTCACAAGTAAAAATTAGAATTAAGAAGCGCATCTCATTATTACATGAAGTTCAACGTGTAATTTATCTTAAATAATAACAGAAAAATTATTAGTAATTAGTATGACACACTATTTTCTTTATATTCTTTTCTCGTGTAGAATGATATAGAGTTAATAGCTTTTTCTAGAATTCATATTAAATTTATATTTTCTTCGTCTTAATTAATTTGTCTTACTTTTTTAAAAAATCTTTTATATATTTAAAAATTATTTAAAATATGTATAAATCACAATAATTAGAAATTTACAATATTTAGATGACATATAAAAAAAATTAGGTTGACTCTCAAAATTCTAACAGTGACAAGTAAACGAAGACACACAAAATAACATATAAAATACTATAAATCACAATAATTAACAATTTAAAATATTTTTAAAGCATATAATAAATTTGGTTGACTTTCAAAATTCTATTAATGTCTCATAAATTTGAACAGAGAAAGTAACATGAATTATTTGAAACTGACATAAAAAATTACTATAAATCACAATAATGAACAACTTAAATATTTAAGAGACATTATAAATCTGGATGATAAAAATTTGATGTGATGTGGCACCTCTCTTTGGCTAGGATTGCCATTTATATTTTTTGTCAATTTTTTCCCCTTAATTTGTTCTTTAAAAAAAATCAGAAAAATAGGTACACTTAACTTTTCTCTTTCCTCATTATTACTACACTATTTATATCTTCCTAAGATTTCTCTTTCTCATTCTTTATTTTCCGGTTTTTTTTTCCAAAATAATTATGCTTTTAAAATTTTCTGAAAATAACTACACTTACATTTTCTCTTTCCTCACTCATTTATATTATACTACTATCTTTTATCTTTTCAAGATTCCTTCTTTTCTTTCTTTATTTAATTTAAAACATTTATAAATATTATTGTAATTAAAATATTACAAATGTAAATGTTATTTATATATATAAAATCAGATATAAGCAAAGTTATTTTTATCTCTCTTTTTTCTCCTTTTTTAATTTTTATTTTTTATTTTACAATTAATTAATATAAGAAATTCATCCTTATAACTCACACCTCTACATATTTATAAATGATATAGTCTTAATTATATTAATAAAATACTCATAACTATCTAATCTTTCATATTCATAACTTTCATTATTTAATTTTGCATATCTTAAAAGATGGGAGAAAACTTTATTTACTTATTTAATTTTTTATAATTAAAAAAATATTTATTCAATTCAATCAATTTTTCACCTCCCTCCATAATTGTCTTCTTTATTAGAGATTTTAATATATATTCATGTCTTCATTCACTTTCAATTTTTATAATTCTTAATTAATTCTATTAATGTGAGGTAATAATATATTAAAAGATGGTATTTTATTTCAATTTCTTTTATGATGTATATTTTTTTAGATTAAATTTGTTCAAGAACATGATTAATGATTGACATTGTATAACTTTGAAAACTGTTTTAAAGTTTGTGACTCAAAAATATAGGTAAAAGTTGATTTTATAACAAGAAATTAAAATGAAAACAAGAACTCTCCTATTACAACTAAATGGTATACTCATGACTTTTTAATTACAGTGATTCAAGATTTTATGGCAATTTTATTGTTTACTCCACTTAAGTTCTTCTAAGAAAATATTAATTTGAACATGCGATTTCACATATTTTTTACCTTTTTATTATAATAATTCAAGATTTCATGACAATTTGTCTACTTTTCTTAAATTCATCTAAAAAAATTTAATTTGACTGTGTGAATGCACATATTTTAACTTTTCGAAACCATCTAAATTTATGTTGGTCTCGCAGTTTCCTATATTTAATGCATATTATGATAAATGTTATAATATGAAGCTTAAGTTAATTTCTTTAGATTTTGTAAGAAGTTTTGTAATGCCTTTTAAATTTATCCAGGTCATATTAGATGTTAGCTTATGCTGACGATATATTGCTCTGTGCTTTCTACTATGTGTTACATGAAATTATAATTTAAATTATTTATTTAACATTTTGGAGAAATACCAAAAAAAAATAAAAATGATTTGGAGTTTAAATGTGCAAAGGAACTGTGACCCTTTTTAGTTTTGAATTCTACTTTTCAAAAATTTCTTATATTATTCTAGGGTAAATAAAGTAGTGTATGGAAAGAAAGTTGATTTTTAAAACCAAGGCACTATCCATTAATCTTTTCCTTTTAACCCATTATTGTGTTATATTCAATTAGTTTCAATTAATTGTATACGAAAGAAAAATTACACTGAACAACCAATGAACTAATAAAATTTCAATGAAAATATTTGTATTTGTAAGTCAAAAATTCGATTAGTGCCACATAAATAAGATAGATGAAGTAACATACATTATTTGAAAATGAGGTAAATAACAATGTAAATTATAATAATTAACAACTTAAAAATTTAAAAGATATATAATAGAATAATTAACAACTTTTAATAGTTGAAACAATTAAAAATTGACCGACTCTCTAAATTCTATTTGTATCACATATGACGTAAATAATATTATGAATCATAATAATTAACAACTTAATAATTTAAAATATATATAATACAAAAATTAATAACTTTTAATATTTAAAACAATTAAAAATTGACTGAATATCCAAATTCAAATATATATATATATATATATTGAAATTGATGTAAATAATATTGTAAATCATAATAATTAACAACTTTAAAATTTAAAAGATATATAATACTATGTTTTTGCTAATACGGAATGTTGTGTCTAGTGTGTATATTTATATATATAATAATAGCCTTTTATATGAAATTAATTGTTTTTCGTAAATATGATGAATATAAATTATTTATGAATTTAAAAAGGAATAACAAAATACAACAATTGAGTAGATTGAATGTTACACTACTTTAAGAAAAAGAAAAAAAAGTACTCTATATGATTTTTTTAATGTTATAAGCTTATTAGTATATTAAAAAAATAAGAAAACTACTGTGATAACTTTGAAGACAATAATGGCCCCTACATTTATAGAAGTCTGTGTGTTTTGTTTTACTCTTCCAATGTGTGGTTAGCCACGTGGCCTTAAGAATATGCTAGAATTTGGGTGGTTTTTCTGAAATTTCAGTATTTCCTATGCACGAAGTACAATTGCTATTAAGCTGTACATTTTGCTTATTTACGAATTTGCCCTTGATCGTCCAAGTCGTCTTCACCTTTCTATATAAAAAAAATTATCTACGCACTATTGCATTTTTTCTTGCGTGCGAGGGTATTGTTGATAATTAAAGCAATTAATTATGACTTATGAGTAATAACGAATATTGTTGATTTAAAATATGTTATCACAAATGTGAGTAACAGATACCCATAAGACATAAGTTACAACACTTTAAAGAATGGAAAAATCTACTTTTTATTTTGAGACAAAAACGTTCCCCGTGGATATGAATATCGTTTTCACAATTCTTTAACACAGGTGTACATGGGTCGGTTCAGTTCGTTTTTATGTATTATCGGTTCGGTTTATTGATTTTCGATTTTTAAATATGTTAAATCAATAACTAAACTAATAAGATATTTTTTATTGGTTTTGGTCTTTAATGGTTCGATTTTCGGTTTAACCAATAAAAAATACTTATAAAGCAAATATATGACTTTTCTAATAAATTTGATGCGAAAACACAATAATGTAACTTTACAAATGCTCATAAAATAGAAACAATAACAAACATGAAAAGAACTACACAAGCGTAACACAAAGAGAAATTAAGAGGAATAGGGTTCTTATTTTAGATTTTAACTTTTTTTATAATGTGAAATTGTAAACTCAAAGTCTTGTGAAGTGTGAATTGAAGGCTAAAGGACAAAGATAGTAACTACTAAGGTATTGAGATTAATATATACAGTAATATTTATGTACAAGTAAAAGTAGTAAATTACTAGTCTTAATGGTTATCGGTTTACCCAATATTAAAAACCAATACTGAACTGATAACCCAATAATTTTTTTTATAAAACCATTAAAAACCTGTTAACCCAATAACAATAAACCAATAACACTTTTATCGGTTCGATTTATCGATCGGTTCAATTTTTACACACCCCTACTAATAAAAACTTAAAATATACTAGTAATCACAGGTTTAAGAAAAAAACATGTTCGACTTCTAAAATTAAGCCAAATTGGACTTCTAAAAGTGACTTTTCTGCTCTTTATATTTGGAGACAACAATAGATTAATAGCCAGAAAATTGGTATGCATACATACTCAGCATCTGAATGTTGCCAAAATTTACTTAATTGTGAACTGGTTCCATTATATACCATCTAAGGTCAGCTTGATAGGAAATAGAAATTCAGGTACCAAATCAAACACCATTGAAAAAAAAGTTTTGTAAAGGTTACTGAATAATGAGTAAAATAATTCGTCCTGCTCTAACACAAAAACGATACGAGGCATGTAAAACAAATAAGGAATGAAGGAATAGACAAACACCTGGTTTAGTACGATATAACTGCTGTTAGGAAAATGGTTTATGTAACTGTACAGATTTTGCAATACATCTAGT